TCCAGTAATTTTTTCCCTTGGCAATACAGTAAACGAGTGGGCGGGCTCTCCAATTTGTTGATCTTAAGGTCCTGATTGCATGTTTGTATAGGATTTCGTGATGACGAGAAAATCGAACCAGGAATCCAAGTGGGTGGTTCGAATACGACATTTGCTATGGTTATTGAACTTGTTATCATTGTAATACGCATAATTTCCTGATTGAATTACCGAGTATTGTAGAAAGCAATCATAACAAAGAATCGTGAGGACTACTTTAGTCAGTCTTATTTTGAAAGAGATAGATCATTATTATAAATTCTTTGTTCACGTTCTTATTTCAAGGATTTATAATTTTTTTTAAATATTAGCGATTATAAGTAAGGACGAAGTTAGGTCAGTTAGCTCCGTCAGTCAGTTAGTTTCCAGGGACACCATGTGGAAGATTAAATGCTAGCAATAGGTTTGTTAGATTTCATTACTAATCATTTCTCCCTCATTATCAAATACAATAACTAAATGCAAATAAAGTCTCGTGTAAAAGCTAGTTTATAATAATTAATTAGGGTAATTTATTATAATTGTGATCAAAAGAACAAGTCACGGATTGCGTTTAAAAGGGAACAAACCAATACTAGCAATACGAGTTGTAACATCCGCGCGCAACGTCGGAAGTGATCAGCAGAGATCACGACGCGCCGACGCGCGCTAACGACCCGCTAATAGAGGTTCGTGCTCGTGACCCCGCCCCCCGTGCCCGATAATAATGTCCAAACTGACGGACACTGTTATTGTTCTGTTCGCTTATCCAATTATGAACTATATTCTGTGCAGATGCCGACTCTATTCTCACGGCTTTTCTCTATTGGTTTGTTTATCTCTGTTCAAAAAAATATTTGCGTATCATCTTTAAAAAAATTGCTGTCATGTGGAACAATGATGATGGAGCACAGATTGATTTCGCACACAGCGTGTTCAACTCTTTTATTAAATAGTAAAGTAATAAAAGATAGTGAAACCTCGCCCCCCGTGGCTTATAATAATGTTCAAATTAATAGATACAATTATCGTTCTGTTCGCCAATCGAGTCATGAACTATAAACTGTGTAGACCCTCACGGTTTGTTTATCATATCTTTATATTAATAATGCGTATCATTTTAAGACGGCTTTTTAATAATGAGTTCGATTGATTTCAGATACAATGCATGTTTCAACTGCTTAACTAATAAGTAATATAAGATAGTAAAATCCTGTTTTATGTAATTATATACTTTTTCAGTGGAGATGCTGACTATAATCTTACGATTTGTCATGTTTAATTAAAAAAAAAAATATTTGACAGATTGATTTCGGATACAATGCTTATTTAAACTTACAAACACAGAATAATTTTAGATAATAATATTGTTTTATTTATGGTTGGGATTGTCTGCTGAATAAAAGTGAAGAAGATGATGAAAATCTTGGAAGGTGAAGTTATTTATTAGAGATATCCACTATGATTACTATTTGAATCTCATGTATATAGGTTAGTTCAGGTATATAGCATTGGCTTAATTACTGGTTACCACGAAATGCATTAATTTTTCATAAGAAAATTAATATTTTATTTATTTTAACCAAATTAACATAAAAAGGTGTCGTGCATCAATATATAGGTAAGATTGAATGTATGCATATTCACTTCATATAAAAGAGATGATTATTTATTTATTTTGTATTAAAATGTTTCAGAACGGCAGATTTAAATGTTATTGAAATTTGCAAATATGTCAATATCTGAACTTTCTGCCATAATATTATAATTATTTTGTATTTTGTTAATTCGTTTAATGTAGAAAAGTGTCTCAGATTAGTCCTAAATAGATTTCTCGAAAATAGATAATATTTGTTACTACAAGGTAATTTCCGCGGTGTATTTATAGTAACTTTTTCTAAGAGTTTAGGATTATCCAGGGTACTGTTTATAATTTTATGGAAGAAGGTATAATCTAATTAATATAATAATAATACAATTGTCTCCTATTTTCTAGGCCCTTTAATTTAAAATAATATCTTTCATTGAAGGAAGGCAGTTTCTTAACCATGCCAGTGTTGTAAGACAGATGCAACAGGAATCGTTTTAGCACTGATCCAATATGTTTTTTATGCACTATATAAAAAGGGATCCAAACTTGACAACAATAATTAAAGCTAATGATCAAAATAATTTAAGGTTATTTTAAATTGAGAATTCTATGCTAGTTAAGTAATCTTTATAACAAGATTTTGAGTATGAATAACATCTATCCTTTAACGCCTGGAATGTTATTTTATCAAGCAGATTTTTATATTTTACATACAATAAACGATATTTGTTTTTTTTTTCTTTAAGAAAATAAATAAGTTTTTCATTAAACCATATAGGATATTTCGAAGATTTAGGTACTTATCTGGGGACATATTTTTGTAGTGTCTTGTAAAAATGAATAGAATTTATGCACCATTTTATCGAGGTTATTACATACCGAAAATTGTTAAGTCCAAGATTTTTGAAAATCTTCAATTAATTGTACGTAATTAGCTTTATACAAGTTAAATCTGAAATAACTATATTAGAAGTCAACGAATCTGGCCCCGATGTACAAGAAATATTAATTTCTAAGGCAGAATGAAATAAATCTATTACACTTAAAGGGGATGTACATTTGTCTATGTTTTCTATAGGTATATTGGTTACAACGAGATTGACTAGTCCATTTTTATGATTTAAAATGTAATTGTACTGATGTAATTATTGTAATAAATAAAATTTATTAGCATGTTAGAATAAATGCTATTATTATTTAGAGAACAACGAGAAGACCGCTTGGAGAATCAGACCATACGAAATTACTTAAATAGAAGTCACCAAAGATCAGTGTTATTATATTCATTTAGAACATTATTTATATTTTCAAGAAAGTGTTTTAAAATATGTTTCTGGAGAGGCGGTGGTAGGTACACGCCGAATATAAGTAGCTTACTGGGGTTTTTGTTTATACAAATATGCACAAAAACCTTGCAATTATTCTCGAGGCTCAACAGACTGCAAGAAGATAATTATCTTCTTGAGGATAACGTGATTAATACGCCGCCGCCAGATTTACCGCTATGGAACACCGAACTAGATCTACTTGATCTAGCCTATATACAGCAAAACGATCACAAAACAATAATAAAAAATACTGTCATTCAACCATGTTTCACAAAATACTATAATGTCATAAAAACAAGTAGTGGTATTTATAAATAGGTCCATTGTTTTACTTCTTAAACCTCTTATGTTTTGGAAGTATACATTTAATTTATGAATGCAAAGAGGAAATGTTTTATCCCAATTTACCAGTATAAGAAAAAAATTATGTCTACATGTTTAGTCGATTCAAAACTTCTAAGTTAGGCACATAAACTAATTCCGATGTCTCTGACCTTCGAAAGTATACTGGACCAGGACAAGGAACTAAAATACAAGTTTATTGGCTGATGCATGCAGTATTTTGTTGTCTGCTGATAAGTTCTCGGCTGCATATACAAAACTTTTTATCTTCTATGCCTAAAACGCTGGAGTTTATTTTATATTCTGTGTGAGCTTTATTATTCTGGAGCGTGGCCGCTAGTAAACCATCGCGGTGTATTAAATTTCACTAAGATAGAACGTGGATGAGTACTGCTATTATTTTTCTTTGATATGCGAGAACAATAGAATATGTCATTATTATTGATGGGACGATTCACGATGCGGCCCAATTGTTGAACTATAGAAATCACATTTTCAGCTTTACATTTAGGTACACACTTGGATTTCTAGGTTACAAGACCTAGAATTTATAATTACCTACCTCTATTTTTAATGCATCAACTTGTTCACTTAAGTATATGTTTTGATATAATTTAGTATCGTATCTATATTATTTTCATAACAATTGTATTTTCCTTGAGTGCATCACGTACTTCTATCCGAATTATTTCTTTGATGTTTGAGAGAGAAATGCAGTCGGTGAGTATGTGCGATTGTATTGGATCTAATTTACTATTCATTTTACGGCGAGACGTATTAAATGTTATATCAGCGGTATTTATCGGTGTACAAGCACGAATCGGGGTATTAGAATTGTCTCCTTTTGGTCGTTTACTTAAGCAGCTAGGGCATACTAAAAGTAACTAACTAAAGCGTATTCCCTTGATAAACAGTCCTTTTCTGATAAATTTAGACAGGCATGATTGAATGATTCGCTGCACCTTACGCACTGGAGATACAGATCATTTTTAATATAATCACGGCATACGGAACAACTCCTGATTTTACTTAGCGTGGTTTGTGGTTAATAATCAATTACGTATTATTGCGAGTGAGAGGGCTGCTGCTGATGTGTTTAATAAGTATAAATGGCCGGAACGGGATAACTGTTGTTGTCATGTGCAGTTTTTGGAATCACAATTTGAATATGAGTGACAAAGAACCAGTCACAGGAATATAGACACTATATGTATAGCATTATGCTTCTAAATACTTTTTTTAAATTGTTTTATGCATAAAATAAATTGATTGCAGTACGTCTATATTTGAATAACTGAAGTTATAAGATGCAGATACCCCGAGTGGTAACTTAACTTAACTAAACTTTTAAATTTCGTAACGTTAATCATCTTATCATAAAAAAAAAAACAAATATTAGAACTTTACTGATCTAATAATACTTAAAAATATTTATTTTTTTGTATCCATAACAAGAAAACCTTAAAATTTGTGAGGGCGTATGACAATAAAATTTCATACTGACAACACTTCGTATACATAAAATGGTGAATACATTTTAATAAGTATTATAATAAATTCAGCACTAAAGTCTTTTACAAGTCATTTATTTCGTGATATTTATTAGTATTTAAAGTACATTGACACTGTTCAATTTACACTTAATAAATAAGTTATAGTAAAAAATTATAAAATCGAGCAGCGGCAAACGAAGTTCCCTAGATTTTATATTTATCACTCACCCTTAACCGCTGATCTGCCACAGTCCACACGCGACTCGCGAAGTCATTGGAAGCACCTACAATGTACGTGCCAGTCGAATCAAAGTCTACTGACATGACGCCAGCGTTTGAACCAACCAGATTCCCTTTGTTCTCGATCACAGCTATGAAAATATAAACATAATTTTATAGTCTGTTTATTTATGTATATATCTTGCAAAGACAATTATTACGAGGTGGCCAGAAAAGTAAATATTAATTACCTTTCTTTACATATTTCTTAATACATAATTCACAAATGCTACATATGCACGCATCTTACTAGACATCTTTTTTATACTACATTAAAAGCCTGCGTAGCAGACTGTGGGTAATCCCTGATGTCAGAACATTTTAATAGTAAAACATAAAGAACAACTTTCCAAAGACAAAATATCTCCTATCTGGCAGCCTTTATTAATTCGATCAGCTCAGCTTAACTTTTGAAGCGAGAAGGAAATTTATTGCATTACTTCTCAGGACGTATGTAATAAATATTAATATTAACGTACCATTTTTAATATTACAGTTGTGACAACGTCACGATGTATTTTTTATTAAAAGTTTTATATCATTAATTAAGCTGTAAAGTAGATATTAATCCAAAAAATAATTTACCCTTCTTGTTACTCTTTCTCCATTACTAATATAACATTAGTAATACAGAAGGGGCAGTGGGATATTTAATTTTTATGGATTGGATTCAATGGATTTTTGCAACTATAAACGCTTAAACTTCATGCTCATGAAGTCAGGTTAGTTGATCTATCATGACGATGTCACCACGAATTAACTATGACGAATTTCTGCAGAGATTGTATGAAAAATAATACAATTATATTAGTAATTGAATTGTTAATTTCCGTAATAACTAATAATCGCCTTTTAAGTTCTCATTCGCTTATCAATATAGTCACTATATATGATATTGTATAAAAAAGGGAGTTTTCATACAATTTTAATCGATTTTTTGCCATTTTACACAAATTGAGAATTAGTACTTACATTTTGATACGTCCCATAGTTTGACTTTTCTATCAGCACCACCAGTGGCCACTATACGATCTGTGGGACTCCATTTCACGGCATTCACTTCACCGTCGTGCGCATCCTGGACATTATTTATTAGGTTAATCAATTAAATACATGTTATAAAGCTCAAGCACTCCAGAAGTGTCCTTCTGATTGTTTATGACCTAAAATTGCTTTCTTTTACTTCAACCCCTGAATTTTGTCTGATGTAATTTGGCAGAGAGGTCACTATGAAACATTATTCAAAATTTGACGCAAAAAAAAAATTGCAGGTATTAATTACTGTTTCCATATTCTTTATACAATTAGTAGCTTTTTCCCGGCACTTCGTTCGCGTGATCGGAATATGTTTACTGACTGGGATGAAAAGTAGCTTATACATAATACTTCTTTATCCAATATAGTACGTGTTTACCAAATTTCATAGTGATTGGTTAAGTCGTTAAGGCGCTATAAGGTAAAGAAAATAACTTACTTCTACACTTAGAATATTAGTAAGGATTATTAAAAAGGGGCATAAGTATATCTTTACGACATTCCCATGAATATATGGTCGACAAAATCGATAGAGTACGAGTTCTGAATTTCGTATATTAAAACATGTATATATGTATATTAAGTATCGTTTGGATCCTATAGGTTTAATAATGAATAAATATAAAAACAATGATTAACAAATGTGATTACTTGGAAGTAAATTATTTGACATCATATTTGCTCATTATAAACAATTTCAACAATAACCATCATCATCATCATCATCATATCAGCATTTAATTGCCCACTGCTGAACATAAGCCAGTTAAGAGTTGCTACGCTTGGCAGGCGTCAATCAGGCTTTGGAGATATTTTAAAAGGAACACTGCTGCCCATTTCTCGCCCTCCCTTAGTCGCCTCTTACAACATCCACGGGAAAGAAAAGGGTGGCCCATTCTATGCCGGGATCACACGGCAAACAATAATAACGAATTAGAAACATCGCTTACGAATTTCAACGCGACTTTAGTTGGCAATACAGTCGCAAAGTAAGGCATGGCGTCAATTGTTTTGTCTTCAGACGAACTGCCGGGAGAGTCTGCGCTACTTCTGCTGCCGCTTTCCCTTGCTGCCTCCTCGAGTTCTTTCCGCACTTTGTCACTTTTCTTTCTAAAAAGAATATATTGTTTAGACATTAAAATATTAACACAACCAAAATAGTTTTGCCTTTTCAATAATATTTTTAATATGTAAAGCGCAATCTGCCAAAGCATTTAATGCAAGGCGCTCAACCATTTGTAGGATTAAACTTGTATGCTTTGATACCATGCAAAAACAAATTATAGGTCGATAATATATTACCCTCTAATAGAGTGAAGCCTATGTTCAACAGTCGTCAGTTAACGGCTTATATGGTAATATATTGCCTATAAAGAAAACACACCATGCATCAAAAGCTTGTTTTACAATTTATAGATCAATTCCATGTGCATACCTACTGGATATTTGAATTCGTTTATATATTATAAAAACCGTTAATGGCGCCACAGCGTCAGTATGCAGAAGCTAGTTACAAGTAGATTATTCGTATAACATATTTGAATGCAAGTTTCATTAGATATTGTGGCCAAGATCCATATCGCATATAGAGAAATATTCTTATAGAAGCATCCATCCATGAAAGGGGATAAGCTTTGAGATGAGACTTTACGTTCAGGTATGTAATTATAATAATATAATGAACCATATTAGTTCACAATTAAAGGAGGCACGTAGTTTTACGATCCACGCAGCCCAGCTACTAAGTGTTTCAAAGAATTAAAAATTATATGGATAATCTATCTTACTAATGTACGCAACGAATATATATAAAAATATTTTTTTAACTTATCTTCATTAAAACAGAGTGAGTTCGTTAATTTATATATATATATATATATATATATATATATATATATATATATATATATATATATATATATATATATATATATATATATATATATATATATATATACGTAATGAAATAATAATTTTAAATCAAGTTCTGGACTACTTATGATCATCAGTAAGAAAAGGATTATGAATGAAAAAATATACTATATGACCAAGTGAACGTTGTATCACCTACAACGCTGTCTGTTAAAAGTAATCCGAAGTGGCGATTCCCATACAAAATTACCTATTTAAAATTTTTCTGAACTGATGGGTTTCCTTAACATTTTTTAAACAATCCCTGTATTATAGAAAACAAAATAAAAAAAATTAAATCGGTTAAACCGTTTTTGAGTTTTAGCGAGACCAATGCACAGTAATTGATATATATTATATATAAAGGATAATAATTCAATTACTAACTAGCTGTGTGTATACTTTTTGCCATTTTTCATCCAGCTACATAAAAAATACAGACAATATGTATCATAGCAAACATTAGAATACGTCTAAAATAATTTAATTTTTATTGTTATTATTTTTAGCCAATATAGTGTGCTATTCCAAGAACAAGCCGACTTTTTACATTCGAACATATTTTGTTAATTTTGAGCTGTTGAGGTGTTCCATTATTATGCTTATTTTGCAATAAAAAAATTATAAGAAACAAAAAATTACATGTTGAATTCAAGTTTTTCTGAAATAAAAAGTCATTCTAATTATACTCCCAGTTATAATAATTATTTTTATTATTACAGTTATGCAGTTGTTTTCTTATTCAGTACCAAAGATTTTTTCATATACCCAACAAACATAGGGCCGTGCATATTTCCAAAAAATAAAAATAAAACATGCAAAACACGTGCAAGTTATACAAGCAAAAACATCTGTACTAATTCAGTAATTACTAATTACTGTACTCAGTTTTATTTTGTGCGAACATTCGATAAAATATAAAATATTGCGGATTGTTCTATTTCAAAATATGTTGTAAGTTTTATTTTAAATACTTCTTGTTAGCTTTTTATTTTATATGACTGATATAATTATAACGGTAATATCATTCACTAAAAAAATATACAGTTGTGACAAAAGTAGTATTTACATAATGACTGGTAATGAAGATGGAACAAAATGGTAAAAATGTCTGGAAACGGAAGAATTAAATAAGGAAGAGTGGAAATTTCCTGAACATAAAATTATATTAAAAATATTTGTTATTTTTCCATATAAGGACTTTTACTTGAATTAAAAGTTCACAATTGTAGTTTTTATTTTTTTTTTTTCTATATCTCAAATAGTACGTGTATACGTAATTTCATGAGAACTGGTTAAGCTGTCAAGGCACCACCTTTTTTTATATTTTAAGGGCTTTTACCTTCTTCAGGTATATCAGTCCTATTGTACCCTGAACTGATTTTTCAAACAAAACTTTATCTACCTTCCCTAGACGCGGAAAGAGAAGAATTAATGGGCATCAATAATTTACAGAGATGTTCAAAAATTTCTGGTATAAGTTCAGCTAACATAGTTTGAATAAGACCAACATTCAATTTATTTAAGTTAAAGTGGCGCATGAATTCTTCTCTTTCCTTCGTGTTTATACGACACTCTAATAGAATATGATGCACATCATCGATGGTACTACAACTTTGACAATGGGGTGACAAGGACTTTCCCATCATATGTGCAAATTTTTTTGATGGATAATGACCAGATCGTAGACGAACAGCTAATTTAATACAGTACCTATTGATTTTAATTCCACAAAACCAAAGAATATGTGGAGGTTCAGCCTGAATAGTTTTGGTACAGAACCTCCTTTTTCTTTTGTAATTTCGTTAAAATATTCTTTCCAATCTTTTTGACACTGATTTTTGAATTTAGATATATAATCAGTAAAATGTGGTAATGACTGATGTTCCCTACTTTTCTCTATGCCCAGTTTAGCTAAACGATCTGCTACCTATAAATAATTTCACTTTCACATTTATAATATTTACAGATAATTTTACAGAAATAATAGCTAGCGCCTTGTACTTGTCAAATCACTTCGGAAGTACTAGAGTTTAGATCATTTTTATTACTCAACCGTCAATTTCTTTATTTCCAGCCATAAAAGAAATTATTCATTCACATTAAAACATTAACAATTAATTTTCGCTGGTAAAGATAATTAAATAAGCTATAATTAGTTTTCTCTGTCTACACCGTAATGTACTAAGTGATGTATATATTTGTATTTATTTATTTATTTTGATCCCTCACTTAAAGTATATCAATTGAAGCTGAAAAATACTGTAATATGAAGTACGGCATGATGATGATGAGGTACCAAGTTTAAGAAATATAAATGACCCAATTTTTGTAGACTTAGTAACCTATAAAAATGACACAAAAAATTTGGAAAAATAAATTACTATATTTTATTTATATATTCACCGACAAGAGCGCAGCTCTTAAATGGATAGATAGATTTATATAATACACGTAAGAAACACAATAATATGAGGCCCAAGAAAATATTCTGAAGTGTCCCTTTTTGTGCAGAAATAATAATACGTCTTTAGTACATTATTTTGAAAGTATTACATTAGATTTTTCATTTACAAATTATTTAAAAATTATATAAAATAAAAACTGTAATCAAATAAGTAAGTACTTACTAGACTATATTAAGAAAAAAAACACAGTGAATTAAAAAAGATAATTAATTCTATGTGCTTATTTTCAACATTATTGAACTAAATTGTGTATTAATATTTTAAGCGTTTAAAGAAATAATGTACAATTTCACTTTTATTATGTTACAAGCAAAATGAATGTATACATACAAGAACAACGTGACACAAACTTTAAAATGGAAACATATACCTTCATGTTACTTTTAATGAAATAAATCCATTACATATTGTACGAATAAAAAAAAATAAACTAGTGAAATAAAAAAATACTGAATGAATAAAACAGAATGTTGGAAAAAAGGTAGATACTATTTTCCTGTATGATGTACATGTGAAGGGACACATCTAAAGTATTTGAAAAAATGAGTCAGTTTCTGAGTGCAGTTAAGACATACAAATGCCAATTGAAGAAGTGAATGTTCAATTTTATAATGAACGCCACAATTCCATCAAACCACCACATTCTCATTCATATTATGCCAAACTCACCCGAAACTAACTCTACCAAACGTGTTGATGAAAAACGCGGTAGGGTTGCTTGACCTGTTGAAGAAATTAAACAAAAAGAAGCAAAAACAAATCATGTATACAAATGCAAGCAGTCTAAGCCGCGCGGCACACACATAACCCACTCTAATTACAAATACATGTCACAAAAATATTACATAAAATAAACAATATAATAATGTGCGGGCTTTACAGTAATTTGTCATATAATCATGTAGTGCCAACCAAAATAATGTCACATAAATATTCTGATTTGCGTCACATGAATAGTAATTTAATTCCTCCAATAATTAACTACTTTCTAAACATACATGACAAACACCAACTACATAACAGTGCATTAACATTAAACATCATAATTAAAGGTAGCAACAATCTGTAAATACATTTTAAAAGAAATATGTACATACTTACAAATTGGATAAACTAACATGTTATTAAGGTACCCTAAATTAAATGTATTAAATACATATAAAATGTACCCCACTAAAATTAAAAATACTTTTAACTAATCAGTTTTGTAAGTAGATAAATTACAAACATTTAATATAAATCATCTTGTTTAAGTAAACTAAGTAGTTCATTAATATTAAATTAAGAGACATGCTGCGTAACATTAAAAGTATTAAATCACAATGTACACTTACTTGAGAAAATGCTCATTTTCTTCGTTCATTTTATCGGCATCTTTTGATTTATATTTAATTAATCTCTCCACTAATGTTCGATTTTCCTCCTGAAATCACGGTGTTAAATATATATCTATTATAATGTGTAACAAATAAGAAACATATATTAATATTTTTTATTTTAATATTTAAATAATACGTAATATTTCCTATATTATTTAGTTGAATATGATAAGTAAATTAGTAATATGGAAGTGACACTTTCGTGTGTGAATTTTTTGCGAAGGTGCATTACTGTTATATTTTTCCGTGGAAACGTATGAAAAAGAAGTGTTGTTGGTTGTTTTCGATAGCACTGACTACGTAAGTAATTCTATTCAGATACAGATATAAGTAAACAAATATTTTATATAGACAACGATAATCGCGCGAAGCTCGTAAAATATACAGCTTGCTCCACTTTATGACAAAAGAATTAATGGTGTTAATTAAAGCGAACTGCGGCTTTATGGCAGATACGAAGAAATATGTGCAGTAAGATCAAGTTACACGTATAAGTCTAAATATATCCATTTTAGCTGTTTTTCGAGGGTTTGCCCGCGTGCATTAGTATATAAAGTATTTATGTCTTAGGGTATAATCCATTCGTGTATGGAATTTTATCAATTTTTTTTAGCAAGATCGAGTAACAAACTTGCAATCATTTCTCTAAACTTACACTATTAATAATATATTTATAATATTAATAAATTTATATACTAAATAGGCACTATGTTGATATTTGAAAGGTGAGTTTTTAAAATAATCTACATATAAGTAAAATAAGGCAATAAACAAAAGAAAGTTCTCAACAAGTTAAAGCACAAGATTTTGTTTTGACGTCAAAATGTAAATATTATAAATCATCAGATACTATTAGAATTTTGGGAATAATGTTTCAGGAACATTTTATAATTAGACATTAAAAAAATAAAAAAGCCGGTCAAGTGCGAGTTGGACTCGCGCATCGAGAGTTTCATACAAATTTTATACAAATCTTCCTTTTTCGGGGTTGATGTAAGAGGTGACTAAGGGAACTTAATGTTGTGGGTTAAGGGATGGAGAGCAGCGCCCCTAAGTCTAACTGCGATTGCCGGCATTAGGCTTTTGTTAGCTGCTGTTTGCCAAGCATGGTAAAACTGGCAAAACCCCCGAATAAGGGGAGGCTTATATTCTGCAGTGGGCAACAGCTAATATACGATGATGACAAAATAAAAAAAAAATTGCAAATACAATATTTTTTGTAATATTATCACATATTTACGGTTTTTGGATTCTGTTTATTTGTGCTCTACGATATTACGGAAACACCCTATAGGTTTTGATTCTCTTACAAATTCAAAATATACGCTATAAATGGCCGTCGTTTGATTTGGGTTGACTTGGAAGTTTAAGGGATTGTAAACTTGTATTTGATATTAATTTCAGCTTAATAACTTCAGGCGTTCCTGAAATAAAGGGTCTTGATAGACGGAGAGACAGAGAAATGTACAACAAAGTTATATTACAAGGGTTCTGTTTTCCTTTTGAGTTATTATTCAGATGGAACCCTAAAAATATAAAAGGAATTTATCCCTATTATTTGCATATAAATAAAAAATAATATTGAAATGAAACATCCTGGGTATACACCTAACCAACGAATCAGCTTGGCACGTGGCCAATTTTTAAATGACGCTATAAAAATCTAAAGTTCCAGCAGAATAAATTGTTCAAAACTAAAAATTAACATCACTATGCCAAAAATAATGTTTATTGTATAAACAATAGCAGGCAAAAAGACCAGAGCTAATCGTTTCATGTTACAAATTTGACGACCTAGGTGGTGTTGTAGTTAATACACCGCTCCGCTTGCCGATGGTTGCGGATTCGGTTCGATTTATGTTTGTATTGTTTTGGAATGAAAAAGAAAGAAAAAGGGACGACATAATATGAAACGGTTGAATCATGTGGAGGAGGATGCACAGGAATAAATGGTGCCACATGATTAGGAAAGCTGATCCCGAGTAACAGGAAAAGGCAAGGCGGAAGAAGAAGGTTGAGGAGAAACCAAACACTATGAATAATCATGGGTGTTTGGTTTTTAAAGTAGATGTGTTTACTATGTATAATACATATGTATGTATTTACAAAAAGATTATTGTGTAACATACATACATATTTGTCACGCCTGTCTCCCATTAGGGTAGGCAGAAACAATGAAACGCCAAATGCTTCGATTCAAACAAACCTCTTTCGCTTCTTCCACATTCATCAATCTTTTCATACACGCTCGCCAGTTACGGGTACTTTTAATTTGGCCCTTATTCAGTACGTCGCTTATTTGGTCGCCTATATTTTATTTATTTATTTTATTTATTTATTTATTTAAGGAACACCAACAGCATATTGCATTATAACATATAGGTATAACAACATTAAATACAATACAATATTAATGCACATGCCTATTATATTGTGTAACAGTATGTATAATGTTGTCTAGTACTTATAGTAAAAACAAAAAAAACTTTGTGTTGTAAACACTTGGGACTAGATGGCGCTTTGTAATATATTCAGCGCCATTTCGTATAATGTTATACTTGTATAAATTTTGAAAGTCTATTTCCGAATATTTGACTACAATTGCTGTGGAATGTTCTTTAAAAGAGAAGAGTATATTAAGGTTTCTTCAAGGTACCTGGCACCCCTGTCACGTGCGCGTTGCCGACACGTGAATGTTGCAGGTGTCCATAGGCTACAATTATTGTTTACCATCAGACGGGCTGTGTGTTCATTTGCCACCTTTGTGGTATAAAAAAATTCTTTCAGATAAAACCTCCTTTTTTGAAGTTGGTTGAAAAATATAACAAACCTGTGCTTTCCTTAATTTGTCTTCAATTGCAGCAAAAGCTATTTGTAAAGCTTGATGTTCATCTCTTAGAACTTGATTTAATCCCTGTAACTCAGCCATATTGTTTTCATACATTTGAATCTCTGCTCTCAAAGATGCTATCACAGCAGTATTTTCTGATATTCTGTAATATTAACAGATATTATATCAAACACTTCATAATTCAATAAAAATCTGGGTTAGTGTTAAACGAGATCTCTTTGAGATGTTATTTATTTAAATTGCTATTTTCATTCTCAACTTGAGAGTCTGTGTACCTTTTCATTAACCTTTAACTGTTCACTGCTGAATATAAGGAGGTTGAGGTGTTGTTCCAGACTGATTATTATTATATTATGTGAGTATGTATTATATATGTGTGTATGTTGTATATGGTAAGACAAATTTATATCGGTGATTCATGTGTAAGTGTAATTTATACTTGGTTAACCTAGTAATATGCATTGTTTTATAAACACTTTATCTAATTTATATCTTCGAAACAGAATCATTATTTACGACATATATCTCTTATTGTATTTGATATTAAACTAATTTTTTTTATAAGCAATATAAATTAAATTTTTCTAAACTTATTTCCTAACTTAATATTTCAATTTGATAATTGCGTGAAATTACAGTCTATATTATATATAAAATATTATTATTAGAGATAGGTTTAGAGAAATGGCACCTCAGCATCCAGCCAAAAGGTTACGTAAAGTCTTGCAACTTCGTCACTAACTACAAATTTATAATAATTAACCTTAACAATAGGTAGATAACAATTGATGACAAAAGTCAACTAAGTTCATTTTTCATATACATAATATTAATTAATTACTAAAAATATACTTTCCTACTTAATTTACTTATGAATATCGAAAATTACTAAATAAATATATTAGCAATACTCTTGTCCATTAGAATAGCATAGAATAGAACTTTGAGGTCTTATAACTTTTCAACAAACTGAGACCCCATTAACAACAAATGCGACCCCTCCAAAGGTTGCAACCCTCCCGGTTGAGAAACTATGTTTTAGAAATAAGTTTATGGGACAGTTCCTCAGGATTGGCCTCCATTTTATTAAACTTTCTAGTCTTTTGTTAAAAAAAAATACTCGTGTAGCAGTGACACTTACACAACATCTTTATTTTGAAGTTGTTTTTCTAAATCATGTACCCTGGTATTTAAATTTATTATTTGCTGTGCACTTTCTCCTCTACGTCTGTGTAAGGAAGTCAATTCTTCTTGTTGTGCCAGAATTTTTTGCTCCAGGGATTGTATCTTTTCAGTAGCTCCAACAGCTGAAAAATATTTTTTTAAACATATAAATAAAAATTTACTAAAGAGTAAAGCTGAGCCGTAAAACACTATATTTCTATATACACACAACTCTCAGAACACAACTGCGCAATATCAAAATACTAGTAATTTGATATTAGAATATCTATCTCATATTCAAGGTTTAAAAGATCTTTAAATAGGTATTTATATCTGAAACCTTGATATAGGTAACATGAATGTACAGTTTGACCATAGTAATGTGATAAGGATAAAAAATAAAGTTTAAATTACTTTTTATGCAAAATACTTACAGATCCAAACATTTAAATTTTTACGCCAAGCTAGATCTTACAGGGTATGAATTGAGGAAAGATTTGAGTTCTAACTTAATGATCTTTTTAACATATAATTAATATATTTAAGAGATCAAATTTCCTAAAAATAGTATTATCACATACCAGTCCAGACGACATCCCACTCTGCAATACTTTTTTCCATTTTTTATTTAAATATTTAACAATTACATAAAAAAATTATATAGTCAAAGGATGTCACAGTCACACAAACTTAAAATAGAAACAATTGTAGGCATAAAATAAAAAAAAAGTATATTACATTGTAAAGTGAGTACCTACTAAACATTCTGTGATACACTATAATTACTGTAAAATTAATCTTGTTTAATATGATGTAGGTAGAAAGTTATTTCAGAACAACATAAACAATCACATATAGGGTACATATAGAATAAGTTTACTATCTATCTAAAACTATTAACAAGCTATTAAAAAATTTCTTATAAAATTATTAGTACAATTCAGCAAACTGACCACACAAGTTTTTAACACAATATCAATATGATATCAATATGTCAATAGAAATACATTGAATACCTTTTCAACACTACTAAATTTAAGAGAACAGATGTAAAAATTGAGGCAGATTGTAAAAGTTTCTTATTGGGTGAAATGAAGAAAAAGAATAACATAGAATAAATTGACTGATTTAATTAAGTGAAGTTCAATAAAAAAATACTTAAAATAAGATTATAAGCAATTATATTAGCTCTTATTACTGACCTCCACTTGATATCACACTGTCTGCATTGGAATATTTGATTCTTTCATTGATCAAAGTTAGCTGCAAGTTTTCATTTTTAAGTGTGTTAACATTGTCAAAAAGTCTGCTTTCTGAAAAAAAAAATAGTAGAAAAATTGAAGTTACAAATATTAGATTGTTTTTGTCAAAAATAGTCTACCTATATGAAATGTCATTTATATGAAATTAATTAATTTATACTTCAGGTGCACATCATCCTTTTAAAAATTTTGAACAGATTAAATAGTCTTATAAAATTTTGCATTTACATATTACAGCTTTGTTTGCATATATTAGGAAAAATAATGTCTATTGTGTTAATTTAAGAAATTATTATGATTGAACTGTCTACCTACTTAGATTTAAATGTATTGTGTAGTTTGAGTAATTGAATATAAATCAAAAATCATTTAGCTGTTTGAGTTATAATTAAATATCCATATAACTTCATAAATTTCAATAATTTATTAGAATAATTAAATGATCATGAATACTTTGAGTAAAAATTTTTACTTTAATTAGATATATCTTTAGGCTTTGCCCACATGAATCAGTATATAAAATATTATATGTGCTACGCTAGGATAAACTTATGCACAAAATTTAATTGAAATCCATTCAATAGTTTTTACAAGAATGAGTAGCGAACAGCCATCCATCATTACAAACTTTCACATTTATAAATAAAATAAATCTATTTTTATTATCAAGGTTAAGTTATTGTTGGTTAGCAATTATGTTGTGAATTTTTCAATTAGTTATTAATTTTGTTATTATTTTATTTGGGATTTCATTAAAATACCATGAGGTGTTTAATTATAATGATAACTGTCAGTGAAATCTATAATTATTTTGTTTACTCTTAGCAAATATTATGACTATTACAATTAATACATCTAGAATACAAATAAGTAACTAACAAATTCAAGAGTTGGCTAATAGAATGTGTGATGAATAATTTATTTTGTTTGACTAACCAGCAATTGTGAAATAGATGCAAATTAATATATACAAAAAAGGTTCACAGTACTTACTATAAACAGCTTAAGTAGTTGCTTTGTTTACATAGCTAAATACATTAGATAGGTATATATAATGTAAATAAATTTAAGCTGATTTTAATACTAGTTAGTATTATTTTATATTCGTTATAGATAATGGCTATTTACGTCATAATTAATACTAATTATAAAATAAATAATCATTATCTATAATCAGTTTTTATATAACTTTATTGGAAGTAGTATTAATATTGTCTCATACAACTACTATTTTGTGTATTGACACAATATACACATCGTCCAATAGATAAGATGGTTTTTATTAAATACGTCTAGGAAGCAAGACACAATAAAATATTTAAATACTGTCAACAAGTTAAACAAAGGTAGTGAAAAGGTTATGTTACTTACGAAATGATATAATATCCTGAAAAGCTCCAGTTTCGTATTTATTTCTTGCCTGTAGTTGGCTAATAATACTATTCCTCCATTCTCCACCTTCCATTATGATGCGTTTATAATAAAATCTATTAGAAATTAAAGTAATTTTGGATCAAAACAAACAGATGTCATGATACAGCAGCATCGTTTATTGTTTTTAGCGAGAGAAACCTTTTTAATTTAATTGTTTATACCATTATTGTAAAACAGCACCGTATTCAATTAATTATGAAATCGTAAAAAAAACTGTAAATAATACTCTATTAAGATATTTAGATCGTTCTGCAAGAGATTTTTGACATCAGTTCAAAACATTGACAATTGATGTGACAATATGAGATTAGCTGTCATTGTCACATTAACATATTGATTGTACGCCAATATAACCCTTAGATATAACCTAATCTAAGAGCATATAACACTGTTATAGACAATTGACAAGTGTAAATAGTCAAGCTACTTAATTCAAGCACGTTGCCATATATTATCTATTGTATTTCTTATCTTTCTTGTCTTATAAGTGGCACTTAAGAACAATCATATATTAAGAATTGCTATCTTTAATGTAAGATTCATTTATCCTTCGACTGCCTAATCATATTGTTGAGGAGGAAAGGGATTGTTACCAATGGAGTTTGACAGCTTTATTGCTAGTAATATGCCCTGTTAGGTCGACCTCCATGTGGTTCCCCCTGGAAACTATCGTGAACAATTCTTGTTGAATTCGTCACGATGGGCCAACTGACCTGCTTCATCCACACCTATCATCCTTCACTGGTGCCCCGTTAGCGTATCTCGATAGCGCAGGAGGGGTTACCATTCCATTGTCATCCATTAAAAAATCATATTATTGACTGTGTTAGCCTTTCAACTGTGTCATGCAAAATGGTGGAAAATCCACATCTGTGGCGTCCTGTGAGCGGACTTTACACAGACTAGGTATTTTTAGCGTATAGGTTTAAAAAAACTTGATTTTTCCTAAATCTAATTGGAATTATACAAAATTCAAATTAGATTTATATTTCAACTAGATTCCTTTTGTAATTTTTTATACTACACTTGACTTGAATTGCATTGCAACTGTTCTATAAGAAATAAAATGGAGTCATTTATAAATTACCCTTTATTTTTTAATTATTAAAAAACTAAGACCTTGCTAGATGTAAAATTATATATTTTTTGTACAATATTATATACTTGATAAAATAAAAATAAAATGGCTTATGTTGCAATACATTTTTTTTATACAGCACTTGTTTATAAACATGGACCAAAAAAAGTCCCTCTTCAATTGACACTTAAGTGGGTCTCCTATTTCATTATTTTTACGTACATTCTTGGCGTTAGGGACAAGAGGTGGTTTGTTTACAATAATTTAAGCTTATCGCCAAGCTAGTTTAGATATGACATTATTACCTATATGTCCGCTCAGCGGACACCACACAGTTGAGAGGTTAGGAGTACATTAGTGTCAGACCTTATTTTTATCTTTACTTATATCTCAAAGCTGGTTCATGTCACCTTACTTTGAGTCTGAGTATGAGTGGGTAAAACAAAAAAAAATCTACTTCGATAGCGCTACGTTAGCCTACTTATGATGATGGCTAGTATTACCTGGTTGAATCGCCAAGATAATCCAGAAAAAATATTTTATTTTACCTAAATGATCTCGTTTATTCTCGTCTCTTATAAATCAAACCATGCAACGCGAATATCTAAAAGTTAATAATGAAGAATAATCAAAGAGCAAACAAATTAAATGTAGGGAATTAAGTAAAATTTTACTACTTTTACAGTAAAGTTTCCTTTTTGTTAGATAGGTAAATTTTCTTCTATAATTGAAGCCCATAAAATCAAAGACAGCTTAATGCAAGATCCAAATTTCTGATTGGCGGGCATAATTTTTAGCTATATTTAATTCTTAGTGGTTGGCATGTAGCTGTATTTGATACCAATGTCAGTTTTTAAACCGAATTAGCTAGAGATTTTGCTGCATTTGTTAGTAAATTGTATACACCAAAGCGTGTTTAACTAATTAAACTAGATGGCGCCACAGTTAACTCATTTTACGATTTTATGACGTTTAGCTGTCTGATTTTATAGGCTTCAATTGAATTATGTATGTGTCTATTATATCATCTTATGTTATTCTTTCTCTTTTCATTTAAGAGTTTCTTTTTATCAGTGCAATTAATTCATGCATTTTTTTAGCCAGCTCCATTTCAAACCATGTCTTTAACCTCCCTGTACGACTTGATGCCTAGTGTTTATCTTATTAATATAATATAATATAAAATTATGTTTTATAAAATAACATCGATTTGAATCGCGGTCTGACCAGTTATTTTGATTTAGACAATATTACTATGGAATCAGTCTGAAAGTGTATTCTTTCAAATAAAAGGATAACTATTCATATCGGTTTATAAATGATAGCGTTATGTACTACATAATTCTGTTATTGAACGTCATATGAAATAATAAACAAAAAAAAAAAAAATACAACCGAATTGAAAACCTCTTTTTTGGAGGCGGTTGAAAATGGTAATTAGACGATATCTGTACTTAAGAGATATTATAGAAAACTTAATCAATAGAACTAAAAATAATATTTTTTAGAATTTTTGCCTCTCTGTCTGTTTGTCCCGATATCGTATAAAAGATATTATACTAAATTAAATGGGGTTTTCACATTTGTGTTCCTGAAGATTTAACTTAAAATCTGGTGTATGTCTTATCTTGATGTGCCAGCTGTTAGTCGTAACTTACTCGCAAAATCCAGATATATGAATTGCGGCCATAAGCTAATAAAAATTCTTCTTTGCGAATCGATGGCAAAACAATAGAGTCCAGAACTTGACACAGAAAAAGCAGTCCACCTGGACTGCATTTTCTGTGGCGTTCCCTAAGTTCTGCAATAAATAGCTGGTAAGGTAGGCAGGATAAGATAGTAGGTAGACCATGGTTTGTATTTCACCGCAAATCTGAGGACGGTCCCACGGAGAATCTCACCTATGCACATTATTCTTACATGGGCCGACCTGGGTACGAAATCTATTGAGCGATTTCCAAAGTGGCCATAGCAACTGATGCCCAAGTGGAAGAATCTCAGATAATAAAACAAAAGGAGTTGGAAGGGTTACCCTCTCACACTGCATGCGATGCTCGCTATTGCAGGTTAAAAGATTTGAGGGTCCGTGGAGTAAATAATATTTTAATGAATCAATTTTATGGTGGTAAATGGCGAAGTCGAAAATCTAAAAAGTTGTAAGTATAGGTAGTATCAACAGACGTAACTTTATTAGGTACTGTCTTTACTTATGTGTAGTACGAGTAGTATCGTATTATAGTTTTATACTAGCTATATTCCGTAGCTTTGCGTGAATCAGTAGGTATATAAAATATTGCATGTTGTGTGGGCAAATTTTGTATCTAAGAGTAACAAACTCCAATATGTACATAAACATATAATAAACATCTAATAAGTACATGTAAGTAAGGTAGTAATAATTATTAGATAGAATATTTATTTGCTTAGGTATATTTATACCACCTATGAAAGTTTCGAACATTCGTAACAGGTACCTAAGTATGTAGTAACTATATTCGTCAAAGGCATGGAGAAATATAAAATGAAGTTTAATGACTTAGTAGAGACTACCTAGTTAGTCAAAGACTCTTGAAGTTGGCAAAGAAGCAATGAGCTTATAAAAGTATCGAAGAAACTTTTCTTAAAAAAAAATAGCGCTATCTTCATGTTGATGCTTTAAACTCATAAGTTTGAGATAGTTTTTTCCAGTTTATCTTGTATTTTTTTAGGTATTATATTTTGTTAATTCTTATTTTTTTTTTACCTAAATAAACTTTATTTAATTGATGACAATCTGAAGAAAATATTCCAATTCTCAAAATGTTTCATGTTTTGGGATGACTCGCCAAAAGTTAAACTGAGAAATAAACATCTTTAAGTGCCATCATCGAAATTTATCAAACGTCTTTCTGAAACATTTCATAGCAATCCACTTTGTATTGTAAGAGTTATGGGGATAAACCGTGACACACTGTATAGAATAATAAATTGTTAGATAAATAGAAATTATAAAGAAGTCTGGTAAAATTTGTCATCGTACCTAAAAAAAACTGAAATCTTATCAAAAACGTTCAATGTAAAAACCTAGCGCTAAACCTCGCCGTTCTTTCACGAAAAAAAGAATGAATAGTTTAGGCTCCCATTATATTCTGCACCTTTCAATTCTTAATTCCTTTGGAATATTCATTTAATGTAGATTTTGACTGTTACCTATTCAATAAGGATTCGGAATTCAATTATAAGTTTCAGAGTCTTAGGTTCAGCATCTAAATTGATTCATAATCAGAGAGTAATATTTCTTGAAATCCAACGCAGATACCTATATCCCTTGGATCAAAAACTGGTTATTTTTTTTTTTATATACATTTATATTGATGTGCCACTTCATAAAAAGTAGTAATCATTACCTATAGACATAAACATATCACAAAATACATTGATGCCCCTGGCACCTACTCATGTTTTCCTATTCCTAAGGACTAACTACACCTTGTAATTTTACTGCCATATCCCACTTTTTCAATCAAGTACTGTTTAGCTGCAGAAATATGAGTGGGGCATAAGTACTCAAGCAATTATTGTGAAGTTAATTATTCATCTGGAGATTTTAGTATTTTATGTGCAATCTAAATTATAATTGTGAATTAAAATTGCCCAATACATTATTGCCTAGCGATAGTAATAATAGGTGTTATATATAATAAAAACAAGTTCTTATATATATACAATTATTCTTAATTTCCTATTAAGTATAATTTTATTATTATTAGCATACTTATCGACTATACAAAATCAATTGATTTGTTTGGTGATGTTAGAAACGTGTGATCAATTACCTAATTTAAATTTGTTTGGGCTGTGAAAGAAATCTGAATAAACTGCACCTTTTAATCCAATGTCTCGGGGCGGCGAACCGGAAAACAGCATCTCTACAGTGCTTTTAGTACATCCGGATCTAAGAAAACAGACTGGAGATATGTTAATTAACTCCCTAGATATCAGAATAACACCATCTCTTTTATACATTTTGAATAATTAAATTACTACTAGTAGCTACCGGTGAGATAGAGAGAATAATCAACATCGCTACAGCAGAACCATGTTCTGTAATTTTACCTAAGTATATTTGTATGTTTTAAGTCTAGATACTTACTTAGGTATTTACCTAATAGTATCAATAATAATCTTGCTTTCTATTTATTTTGCAAGTAATATATTA